CACATGAAGTAATGCGAACCTGTTGTTGATGCGTATCTCTCTGTTGAATCCTAGTTTGCGTTCAGGTTATTCGTTTCATCACCAAGGTCGGGGAAATGGATGTGTCACTCTGTAAGCTGGAGCAGGGATTGTAAGATTAGGCGATAACCTGTATCTAGCTTGCATATATATGCACAGCGTTAAGGCGTGGTGTGCATCGATCAGACCACGTGAGGCGACAAAACCAAACATAACGCTGACATGAGCTAGCTTCACACCAAACTTCATTAAAGGGCGGAAGCAAAGTATCCGGTGGCTTTCTTCGGCTGCAGCCTGCAAAGTTGGTTACAGGAGTGTGCAAGACTACACAGTCTCTTCATCAGCAAACAAATAATTTTCTAACAGCACAGGAGCAATGATTCACCCGCGTGGATTTAGACATTGAATTTGGCAGCAGTGTGATTCGAACAGCATTTAGAAGAGTTGGTGCGTACTGAGCAAAATTCACAGAACCGAACCAAATGTGATGCGACGTGAAAGCGTAAGGCCAAGTGAGACCAGAGCACAAATGGTGTGCGGACGTATGGCATATGCATGCTGTTACGATGCAAGAACTTTGCTCAATTTCACCAAGTTGAACCTATGAAATGCAGGAAAAGTAAACATTTTTCATCTCTTAATCACGGTTAGTATAAACTGAGACACTGGATCCTCATGGTTACAGGTTGTCAGATAACTAAGTGATGGATTTTTGAAACCTGTGCTGCGATTGTGTAGGTTAGTATTAATACGCGAGCGCCACAGAAGCAAGCATGGGGTATGCACTTTCAGCGCATATATTGAGCTGTTAGTATCACATTGAAACATGATGTCGGTTCGATTAGATCATGCAAGCTTGCAGCCAAGTGAGACTTAAAGTATCCAGACCTGAATGAGGAAATGACCACAAACAATGCCCCACTGTGCAATAGGTTTGCTTCTGTGACTTTGGTAGATTCGCGGAGACCGAGAAAATAATTTGGGATTCCGGAATTCGCATTTTATTGGGATAGAAAAAATTTTACTTTTGGCGAAATCCAGCACACACCACAGACTTTTTAAAACGTTTTGATGCAGAATCTGTTTTGCTAAAACTGATCGATCTTGAATGGTATAAGATCTGGTCAACAGAGTGGATGTTTCGAGAAAATTTTCGAAAAATGTCTGATGGATATGGCGCCTCTGAGGAACTACAGTTAATTTCCGACTTCTCGTTGCAGAGCTATACGCACTGAGCTCCGCTTCAATGCACGCACATCCAGTACATTCGATCTAGAGCACCAGCGCAAGAAAAGCATATCATCAATAATGGTCGACGTCAAGTTTAATTACAATCAAAAATGTAGCGCTAACGGCTGCACAATAAGAGCTCAATGATTGAAGAAAGCAGTTGACTTGATCTTCGGCTGATTCCAAGCCATGAAAGTGCCCAGACCTAAATGTATTAATTGGTATAATAAGCAGTTCGAATGTAGCAACCATTTGGCATATCAACTACCAAGCAACAGGGCAGAACAACCATTTGGAAAGCACCCGCGGCAAATGGAAGCAGGAAATAATGACGAACTTTGAATATGAGTTTATATATTTGGACATTCAAATCAAACCGTACAATAAATAGCCGAAAATTAATGCAGCAATTAAAGCCACTGTTATAAGTTTACAAAAGATTCAAAAATGCAGTGAAGAGTTTGCAATGTAATAGAGACAGAGAAGGTCTTTGAAGAAGAGTAACTCAAAGTAACCTTTTAAAATATACCGTTATTCGTGAAAAGCTCATAAAAATACACAAAATCTTATGCCCACTTATGAGCTATTTGAAATTCATACGCATGGGACAGGAATATTAACGGTTTCAAAAGGGTAGAGCGTTCCGACCAAAAACTACTCAAAGAAATATTTGCGAACTTTGCATTACATTGTTTGTATTTCTTTTACACACAAGCAATTTGGTTCGACTCTGAAATTACTAAATGCCGTCATCTGATTTCCCCAGTGCACTTCTAATGTAAGGACTAGTTTTACTCTTGTTATCGTACGTCGGCAATTTGTATTCAGTGAATTTTTAATTTATATACCTTGATTATTCCTGAAATTTTAAAAGATGGTCCATCATGTCAAGTATTAGAAAACAATATGGAATAATACACGACAGTTGCAAGTAAATAAATATTTCAAAAGGTAGAAATACATTATGTGCATCATGGAATAGCGCTCTAAATATTCAAGCGTACTCTGTGCTGACTGGCAAGTCAATCTTAGACGTCAGACAGTTTTCCAGACACATATATTACTGATCACTTTCAGTAAGCGATAGTCATTTCTTGGAAAATCCATGGATCTAACAGAATACAGCAATACGGGCGTTTTGTTACTGCAAAAACGCTAGCTACATTCTGACGTGCATTAGGAAGTAATTCGATTTGATTGCGATTGTTAAATTTTTCCATCTGAGCTTGCTTGCCTAGGAATCGTGGGAGGAGTTTACTCAATTACAACGATAAATTATGCCATTATGCGGAAAGTAGCGGATTAATTATCTAATAATCAACGACAGTAATCATTCGAAACATTTAAATAGCACATTTAAATAGCACATTTAAATAGCACAGTGAACAGATGAACCTGGCTGATACAAACTTTCCAGTTGCTTCGTAGACGCGAAATAATAACTGCTGAACTTGTATTACTTGTGAGATGGGGATAAAGGACAAAGTTGACAACCCGTTTCTATATCAGTTTAAAGGCTACAAATAGTCGAAATTTACCCAGGCTACGAGCATCATCTGATTGATCGCATTAAGTTTGGAGGATTCAGGAAGAAAAGTAATACCATACCTGAACATGCTATTAACTATTACCGAAGGATCAAACGAATAATAGCTGCTTGGTAATTTTTAACAATGAAGGAGTCCATAAAATTTCATAAAGAAGTGATAAAAGAAGGGCTTAATGGTTTCGTCCGGTAACCCATTACGCGTGTGTCTTTGTATCATCAAGTTTACTGCCATAGCAAATTGGCCAATGGTACCAAATTATAAATTAATAAATAGATTGTGAACTGAAGACGATAAGCTTTCCATCCACCGTAAGGAAAAGAACAACTGAAATCCTGTTTCTTAAGAGTAATATAAAGTAAATAGCCTCTCCTACGTTCGAAGGGCTATAGATATAGCTTCCAGTGCGAGAATGTCATCACCTCGCAGTCTAACCACTTTCAGTGACTGTGCTAGATAGTTGGTGCAAATTATGTAGCTTAGCCAAATTCCCCCATGGCTCACTGGCTTAAGCTACTGGCTAGTTGGCGTCTGTCTCTAGCGGTCATGGGTTCGGTCCTACTTGGACGATCGAGGGAAATCGCGCCACTGACTAGCCCCAGTAGTGCGAAACGCGCCTGGCGCTTTCCGAACTAGGGTGTGCTAGGTAGCTTCTGAACTACTGGGATGAAAACCCCAACAAAATTACAACTAAAATCCTGCTACTTACGAGTAAAGAACTTACTGTTGGTTCATCCAAATCCTTTGTTTTCGTGAACTGAAGCTCTCGTAAACTCTGAGTTACGCACCTAGTAAACGACATCAGACTGCACGAATACCATGCAGTAATAAACACAACGAGGCATTTTACTGTCACTTTTTGCACATTTGCTTGACGTAGTTGGGAATTAGGACAGTTCACAAACAACAAACACCAGTCCTGATGGGTGAGGAAAGCCTAATAAGCAATCTTCAGTATTTATGACAAAAGGAGCGTTTATTGGCTTTCCTGTTTTCATTTGGATTTTCCATCCTGTTTTACAATTTACTTTGGAAAGTACAACCTTATATTGCCTGTACTCCTCTAGGATAATTCGCTATTCATAACAGAACAGCGGATCTAGCATTAACTGCTCTCTTTTAAATATGGTAATTAACAATACCCAATCCATCTTGACTTATATATTACGCAATCGCTCAGCCATATGAGTGATGTAGCCTATGAAATGTGAGGAGATGGGCCGGCGTAACGGCATAACCATGAGCATTTTGGCCATTAAGATGACAAATAAGCAATATTTCGTGATGGAGGATGATAACTAAAGCAGTGCACTACTAGAATGCTTATAGTATATCTCATGTTTGCAAGGCGTTAGGTGGATGACCACTGCTGATTAATGGTTTAAATATTGAATAAATAATGGAGTAATAAACCCATAGATTCAGTGACTATTATATTTTCTCAAGCTGCTTTGTAGGAAACAGATAATCTATTTCAAAATACCATAAGCTAGTGCTTGTTTACGTTTAGCTGATTATGAAAAAAATTGATTTCTTATAGACAAAGAGCCTTCATAATATTACGGATAGAACAATGAAAAAAAGCTCTCGTCAAAACTCATTATTTTTTGATGAGATGTCATTTGCACGACAGCAACATATATTGCTACTTCGCTTATTGCAGTGCTTGGTATAACCTAAGATCCTAGAGATACTTTGTAGAGAGGTCAACTTGTGGTCGATAGCTATTCTGCGCACAAGACTACTTGCTGGAACGTCAACAAATTTGTGTGTATGTCACAAACAGAAATTCATCTAAGCGAGTTAATAAGTTGCGGTTTTGGGAGCCACAGCTTGTTTTCTTACAGGTTCCATTTCTATGTTGCTGAATACAACGGTGAAAATGGCTCGAATCTGTTCATTACCGTTTTTGTATTCGTTGTGTTATATTGAAATTGAACGAAGCACTGCGAAGTCATAAACTTCTACTAAGCTCAAATCCCGTATGGTTATATTAAAATGCTTATACTATTAATTGCATTCAGCCATGTTCAGTCTTCCTAGTCAATAATTTTGAGTACCGCATTTGGTCTTCGACTGTGTTTACTGCATTTGTTGTCGGACCGTGAGTTTTACCATCCATCAGTTAACCGCTTTAAGGATGGGTCGATGGTGTTTCACGGATGTTCAGTACAACTATCCAACTACACGAATAAAACTGCTACGTCAATCAAAGTTATCACACGGCTGCACAAAAGTGGCATGAAATTTCCATGTGAAAACTAAGTGAATCTGGTTCAGACACAGCGCCTTTTTGAAATGCTTACCCTCCGAATATTCTGCTGACAATTCCAGTACCTTGGAACCAATTGCGGAAGCAAACACGACGGTCATCGCTGCATTGGTAGAAGTGCAGTTGAATGGAATATATACATCCGTGCTTTCTACCAGTTTTAGCTGGGGGGCCGCACAGTCATCGCCATCCAAAACACGTAGCCAGGCAAATTTAGAATCGAGCTAAGGAAGGCAAATTATAACACTGCACTGGATTATATCTATTAACGTCCTTCATGTTCGGAAGTTGATACACCTAATGTCTCAGGTTAACGAATTCGTAGTTACACGAAACAAAGTGTTCAGTTTAGTTTAACGCATCATACAAAGTAGGCATGTGATATTCTCAGAAAGTCGGCTTGGTGAATTTGAATTAATTATGTTCATCGGTAATAAAATATGACTTACTTTAAGCTTGGTGAATTGGACATGCACTCTTTTTCCCATAGCAACTTTGAGAGTCCAAATGCACAAAGTATTCCTTCTTCCGTTTCCTTTAAAAGAAAACTCTCCGATAGGTCCAAATAATTTCCGTTCACAATTATCTAAATAGGACGTAAATAAACGTCTCTGCTTAATGGATGTCATCAACAATACCATTATGTGGTACAGAAAAATCTGTTGGTCAATTTGATCTTTGAGATATCTTGGATATGCAGCCTCTTAAATCTATGTTCATGTTTAGAAGTTACCGATTAACTTTGTGTACAAGTTCACGATAAAAGATGTTGGATCACAGTTAGAATTTCACAGGAATTTCAGGCGTTAGCTTTGTCAATTAGGCTTTTTGTTTTTGTTAGTTGTGGCATTAAGCTGCTGTCTACAATGTAATCAAAGAACAATGGGATAGGTGGGTTGTTTATACAGCAAGTGAAAGCTGTTATCAAAAATTATGCCTTAGTTAATACATAATGCTAGAATGAAACTTACCCAACAGCTGATTATTTGCTGGAGGAAAATTACAGATCCAATTATGTTTTACAAGAAACGCATTTCCGCTGACAAAAAGTTGGTGTTGCAAACAAATTCATTTTATTTATTACTGGTGCTTTTCTCAGACAGCAAATAATTCATACAATGAAATCTGTGGACTGTCATGACTTACTTTTTATTGCTTTCGATTGATCTATCATTGAGGGAACAGCAGTATAGTTAAACTCTATCCATGCATGTAATCATTAATAAGACGACGCAGGTACTATGGTATAAAGATACATTGGTTTAATTGAAATGTTCGTAGGGAAATATTTCAGTTTGTGAGATATTTAGGCTGCTATACTCAGACTTCGAGTAGATATGAGCAGATACTACGCAATGAAACAAGTGCATTAGTAAGCAAATCATTCTACCGTGTTTTATATTCAGCTACCCAGGATAACGACTTACTCTTTGAATAACCAGATACTGAAGAATAGATAAAAAGCAATTAACACTTTACCATTTACTCATGTCGTTGGTTGATTCAACTATTCAGTATAACCTGATTACTGTCAGGTAACACATATATAGATATAGATATAAACGCGTTTGGTTTCTCCTATTTCACGTGTTTAAAATAAGATGATAGGTGCTTAGTGATAACATTAATTGGACCACCTAACACTCTCTGAGAAACTGCCACCTAGTTTAATATTTGAAAAATGAACTAGGGGAAAAGTAGGTTATCTTCTTTTAAGTCATGTTCAACATGACAACACAAATTTGTGAATGTCTGTTCGAATTGGTAGGTATGTAAAGTAGGAAGTTTTAGCAATAGGCTGTGGGTATTATGTTTACTTTAAAAATATGGTCCACAGGATCAAAGGAGTTGGATGTTGCTCAATTTACTGATTCTTGTTTTTGAATTTTGCGTGAAACACAAGTGTAATATACTGGGCGATGAAAAGTGGAATTTGTAAATAGATAGGTAAGATGATATTCGTTGAGTACAGTCTTACTTGATTAAAGTGTTACGCACTCTTGCCAGCTATTCCTTAAACATAAACTTTGGTTTAGAATTTCATTAAGTATATGGCGCCTGTATGAATCAATTTAAACGAAAGTATACAACTCTATTTAACATATTATATTCTCCTACGTACATTGCATTTTATACTTTACTGCAGGGAATAGGTTATCACCACGTTCGACATGCAAGTCAAAAGCTGTGAATGAGTTGGCAAATCAACTCAAAAATGGGTGCGTCACATAGGACTAATTTCATGGTAACAGAGGAGCAGAAATTACTCAGAGAGAGTGTGAGAGAGACGGAGAATGACGCATATGGGGGAATTGATACTGAGCAATGGAACAGTGATACTTCAAGCAGCCTGACTGAATTTATTAAAAGCACTTTATGGAGTATGTATGCGCGTTTTCTTGTAGTTGCGCGTTGATTCCCTGTGTTGCTATGAGACGTAATCCGCGCATATTTTATACAATGGCCGGATGCTTTTTAAAACTTGTCTGCTCGTCTGGAAGGCGAAAATTGTATGCGCTATTCAGTTAAGGTAAACAAAGGATTTGCATTCATTTCCAAACCAATTTATTTGCATTTTCCAGCTGGGAATAAGCAAGTTGTTAATAGCAACTCCTATTTTTAACTAATTCCGAGAAGTTGCCTTTGTGTCTTTCGTATAATTCGCTTTGATGAAAAACTTTATGCGCCATAACATAATTTGTGTAGTTAAGTCTTTTTAGGTGTAATCCTTTGTACTTGTAGTGACTACCAATGTCGAAAATGCAGACGTTGTTAAGCCAAATGATACCTCTAGTGGATATCACATTTAGTTGCGACGATTTACCTAACAACCGCGCAGAATGCCATCTTGTAATGAGCACAATACTCACACAAAGTATATTCTGCTTTAAATCTTCTCAAGCCATCTGTGTGATATGATATGAAAAGGGCTGTCATTTCGTTACGGCTTGAAATAACTGCCAAAGTTTGTCCCGCAAAAATCACGCCAATTCTTTTGGATGTGCAGTCAGGGCCATCGAATATGACAAAGTATTCGGGAATCTCCGTTGCAATTGTCATCTGTAATGATTAAATCAGGAATCGGATACAGACCAAGGATCATCGTCGCTAAGCATGATATCAGATAGTCAACACAATTATTATATTGGAAATGCATCCATATCTGGAGTAGACTTAACGTTGGAAAGGATGCAGATAAAACGCTGAGTTTACGTAACATCACATCAGCATGATTATACAGCGTTTTCACAGGCAATTGCTGCGGAAACTTACGGGCACTTCTTGAAAGGTGATGTTGATTCTGCTTCTGTGCGACACCTTAATAGCAACGTTACAAAATATGTGATCCCCATAAGTGTCCAAACTATCCGGACTTCCAAAGCTCTCGGAGTCCTGCGACGTAAAATTTTTGCTGCATGTCGCCTTGCGAACAATACCTGAAAAAACGAAGGGAAAACGCGCTTGTGTGTTATTTACAACCGATACTGAGCGAATTCACCGCTAGGTCGCCAAGCCACGAGAGTGTGATAGTAGAAAGTTGGTGAAACCGGTAGGTTGGCATGCGCCAAGAGTATGTACACCAATTACTGTAAATAGCTAACAGCAACGTTTGATTTACTAAGAGAACTGCGAATCAGATTCATGCTATCTTCACGACAAGTTATAATGAGCAAAAGAATTTGTCAAAATTGACCGTCCGTCAAATGGCGCAATGAAGTGCTATCACAATCAAGTGCTTCAGCTAATCTATTTAATCATTTAACGATGCGTTCATGTCAGATATTTTTGCAGATAGCAGTTACAGCGATGTGCGTATGACACGAACTCACACCAGTTATCAGACCTTAGGACTGAAATAATTTACGTCAGAAGCACTGGTCTGACAGGTGTTTTTCCAAGCTTTCTTTGACAAACCGCAAACACAGTACTTTGGATATTGTTCTCTAAGTGGATACAGAATAACTTCATTTATCTTGTACTTCCGTGCACATCTGTTTTGCTTATTCCGAACATGCCTATCGTATGGACCCACAGAAAAAAGCAAGGTTTGCTTGAGTGCAATGGCTAGAAAATCACTTGGATACTGAAGTGCGCTACGAAACACGCACTCTGATATTAGACATTTTTCTGTTATTCAGCTGGTACAGAGAATGTAGGTGTCCATGCAGAGTTAGTCAATTTGTTCTAATGTAACACACCTCAGCAATCTATTGAGCGGTATCTGTTTGTTTTATTTATCCCCCACATCTCGATTATTGCTATTCATATGTGTAACCGAATGGGAACTTCGGTGAAATGAACGCTGGCTGAATGTTACCGTAGTATTTAGGACCATATGCCCTCAATATTTGGTGACAATTATTACAAACTTTCTAAGTGTATGGGCTCACTGGTGCAGTAATACGTCGATAATACGCAATGGTCTGTTTATGAGAGTAATTTGTTTACGGAAACTATAGTGGATATCGCCGTCCAGGACGTAGTTTCCCAGTATCCTCGTCAGGCCAGTTTACCAAGTAATTTACATGGATAAAATGGTGTTATTCCATGAATATTTGTGTACTTCCCGCACATTAGTTACTTGGAAGCTCCACATCATATTTACCTGTGCCAGTTTATTGTTATTTCTGTGGTTTTACACTACGTTTAGTTAATCGCATAGATTGGTACTTACATTTGTTATGGTAAAGCAGAAACCTTGTGGTAGTTGCTCCAAAGTCGTTGGATATCGCGCATATGCAATTACTTGCCGTTTATGCAGCGTAAATTCTCATATTGCTATATTGAACTCCCTGGGAACCTACTTCGCCTACATCAGGTACACTGAAGAGCGTTTAGAACGCCATTTGTAAGCAATGTCAGTCTAAGCTTGGGCAGAAAGAGGTCAAGATCTTGACAAGCCGAATAGTAAAGCAAATTGCCCACAAGCGCGCAGCTCGATTTTCTTGCAGTAGAATCAGAGAAAAAGCCAACACCTAGTACGACAGCGAATCTATCCCTGGAGCAGTGTTCATGCTCCGACAAGCTCAGCTTCAACTTTTACAGATCCTGCATTTGACCCTAAAGCCCTAATTTGCAATAAACAATTTGGTGAATGGAAAATGCAAATATCAAAGAAACGAATAACAATGTCCGGCTACCGGCGACGCCGCAGCTTCATGGTCTTTCGCACAACTGAAACCTGTTACGCCAATCCTCAGGTGTGCTATGAACATGACGTCGAGATTTTTCAATTCAATTGATAGACTGCTCGGGATAGTCAACTGGATTCCACCGTGCATACGAATCAACAGGTTTCTTCTGCTTCAGGCGAACCCAGCGGTTCCTATTGCAGCATGCTGTACTGACATCTGCAGTCTGATGAACAAACGCAAAGAACTGTGCTACTACTAACCTCTCAGCGTTCAGACGCATTAGGCCTTGCTGAGACGTGGTTAAACTCCGAAGTAAAAGCCTAAAGCTGTAAATCAGTGGCTTCACGTGCTTT